ATTTTCTTTTTTGTTTTTGATTTCAAAATTGGGAAACTCATAAAACATGTAGACCAATGGGTCATATCTTTCACTTGACTTTAAAAGCTCCTAGCAAACAGTAAACTTGGATGGCCAATTATAAAAGAAGTCTTTAAAATGCTTCTGTAGGAGATCATTCAACAGACAGAATTGAATCAACTGTGCAGTCAGTCATCTGTAGAACAATACATTGGAGCTACACCTCATACTGTATACCAGGATGAATTCAAGTGGATCAAAGATATAAATGTAAAAAAAGGGAAACTATTATATTAAAGTACCAGATGAAAACATTCTTCTGCAGGTTAGAATCTTTTATAAGATATTTGCCAGGTAGATGCACAGAGTTGTTAAAGTTATAAATCAACTTCAAAGCCAGAAGTGCAGTGAACAACTTGGGCGGGCAGAGGAGAAAATATACAAGAGTAAATTATTATCCAGGCCTACCATAAATGAGCCAAACCTTTGTCTCTAATTCAGTAGCCCCTTATTTCTTTTGTCTCAAAAGTACAATACAAAAATATTTATTTTTAACACACATATTAGTTTCCTAGAGCTGTGAAACAAAGTATCAAAAACTGGGTGCTTTGAAATGTATCGTCTCACAGTCCTGAAGGCTAGAAGTCTGAAACCAAGGTGTCAGCAGGGCCAGGCACTCCCTGAAGGAGTGTCCAGTCTTGCCTTTTGTAACTCCCAGTGTTGACTGGGAATCATCCCTCTGCGCATGTCCTTACTGGATCAGGGCTTGTGCTACTGACACCATTTGAACTTGATTCCCTGTATAAAGACCCTACTTCCAAATAAGATCACATTCTGAGGTACTGGGGGTTAGGACTTCCACTTATCTTTTTGAGGGGATACAAATTAACCCACAACACACTTCAGTGGTAACACATCTTTCTAGCACATAAACCATCAGTAGAAACTGACATTCTCCATGCTAAACCCCACTGGAAGTGGCAGAGCCACAGGCTGACACTCCCCACAGGGTGGCCTGGGGACACTGGGCACCAGAAGTCCACTGTGCTCAGGATAAACACGCAGATTCTGAGGCCTTGGCCCAGACTCACTGAAACAGAACTTTGATGAGAAAACAAACCCAGATGAGGCATTTTTCTCAAAAACTCTCAAAATGAAACAAGGGCTTTTAAAGGCATAATAGCATCCAGGCCAACAAGCATTTATGGGGCTTTAAAGTTTCATGCAAAGGAAAAGTCAAGTAAGTAGCTGTTTTCCTTGGGTTTCAATCAGAGCTTCCACTCGAGCAGCGGAGAGCCGGGCAGGTGACATGGAAGTAGAGCACTCAAAGGTAGCTGTGCACGGCCGGCCCAGAGGGGCTGCCGCCGAGCATACTGGGATGATTCTTAGCCCAGTCCCAAGGCTCTCATTATACAATGGTTGCAAAATCTAAACTGCAAATTTTGCCCTTGAACATATGCATCTGTCACCTCTGCAGGATGTCACCCATACCTCTGTGTCACATTATCTTTCCTCACCATGCTGTGCCAAAGCAGGATGGAATACCACAACAGGTGTTCTGCTGGTCTGATTACAGGTTGGGAAGCAGAGTACTGCATAGCCCTGCCAAAGTCCCTGGAATCTTCAGGAAGCTTCCAGAATAGAATTTGTTCCTTGAAGATGCTTCCAATTGTCAGATGGAGGTATTGTGCCCCGTCCTGCCCTCTTGTCCCTACCCACTTTAAGTTTTCAATGACACTAAGTGAAACTCACTTGCCTATAGATGACTGATGCCTATCAGTGTCCTCGAAGCCCATATCTGCACATTCCTCTGGATATCTCTCTGTCCCTTACAAAAGAAACGTTGTACAGAAACTTCTGAGAAGCCTAAGCATGGGGCTGGTGGGAGGCATGTCTAGAAACAGTGGATCCTCTGCACCTGGGGCTAAAATTGAACAAGGAGGAAACTGGAAGTAAAATGAGAGGGAGTCAGGACTCAGAAGAAAGAGGGACTCCTTTAGTGTTGAGTCTAGAAAGACCCAGCAGGGAAGAGGAAGGAAAGAGGTCATCTAATTTGCCACTGAAAGAATGAGGAAGGTAAGAATAGGTAAGGTGAGATGGGCCAGCTTTCCTTTCTTCCTCTTCCTGGGCCAGCATCCTCAGTGTACCCTCCCGGGTCTGTGCCCGTGGTTTGAGAGGTTGTCACCCTTCTGGTTATCAGTATTTAAAAGGCAATAAAAAGCTCAGGGATAGATATCTATACAAATGTTCATTAAATATAAAGAACTAGAGCACAAATTTGAAGTATAAAATTGCTTTTGAGATATGTAAAATTACAGTGACTCTTGCAAAAGGCTTAATTTTTAATAAAGCAGAATGATAGTTTGGTGATGCAATTCAAGCTTCTGGGATATAAAATCAGATGTGCTTCATTAGCACTGAACCTAAGAATCAACCACACAATGATGCAATTGGGTGTGATGCAGAAATCAAAGGTACAGCAGCTTTTGCAGTCATATTTTCTCCTTTTTGACCTTCAGCTAAATGATATTACACTTATTGACTCATTTCACCATGTGTAGGATAATTGTAGATTAAGATTTAATAATCTAATTCTTTTAAAACTAAATCTCTACCCATGGACAAACTATAAAATATCCATTAAAGATGAACAAATTTCAGAACAAGCAATAAAGAGAAATGCCTCTTCTATAGTTAGATATCAGAAAGCAAATATATAGCATGTGTTATAAAAAGGCATCCCTTGTCAGAGTTCACTTGGCAGGTTTTTATCATTCTTGTCACTGCTGTAGTTTATAAATTGCAAAGAGAACAAATTAATTTTTTTATGTCATCTTTAGGCAGGTCTAATATAAATACTTTACAGATTAGAACTTGACTGTCACACTTGTATGATGCATTTTATCCTAATGCTCTTTACATCTTAATTCTGAATAGAGAACTACGTCAAGTCAAAAAATATGCCCCAGATGTTAAGAGAAAGGAAAATTCAACTATAATCATCAACATTTGAAAATTATGACAATATTCTCTTAGTTATAAAAAAAACACTTTGATCTACTAAAATGGTCCAAAGTGTTGATTATTTTTGTTAATATTCATCATTCAAAATGAAGTCAATTCACAATTTCTGTTATACTGATAGCCATTCTGAGGATTATCCAAATGTCCCACACAGGTTTTTGTATCACATAGCTATTTCCATGAACTTCTAGAACTAGCTTCCTTACTATTCTTCTTACTATTAAATTATTATTATTATTATTCTCAAATTATAACCACATAAATGTAGCATTGTCTATATTAGATTTTCAGTGTGGGGTATTTTTTTTAAATGCCAGGTGGTATTTGGATACATAAAAGATATAAACGCTTTTTAAAATGTAGCTTTGTCAATTTTCCTGAAAAGCCTGACAACCGTCTTCAGAGTTTTTCCAGAAGACTTTCTTTTTTCCCTCATTCTTCATCTTTTTTAAACCAATTATTTTTATTCTGCTTGATCAGGTAAGTAGACTTTTGATTTACAAGAGCTGTATGACAATGGTACACACACATACATATATAATTTCATTTTTGCCTTTATAATTATTTTTTAAAAAATGATCAAGCAACATGATAGAGTATGGCCCAAGAATTTTGAAATCATACAGATCTTTTAAACTAATAGAGGGGTTTTGCTACCCATCTTATTACCAAAAATTTGGTTAATTCTGGCTTTACCAATGGATAGCTAGGCATGGACATAATATTTTCCTTCCGTTGGTTTTTTCTCCATTTTAATCCTAAATTCAGAATATTATTGCCATGAATTCTTCATCCAATGGTAACGTATCTGAGCTTAATCTGAGTTGTTTCAAATGCTCTTCAAAATTTTGTAATTCTAAAAATGTCATGATGAGAATCTACTAATAAGTATAAAAATACATGTACTTGAGTTCAGCAGTGCTCTGGAACTAATATTACCAAGATTAAATGAGGGAATATATGCTTATAAGGACAATGAAACTTAAAAGCAACAAAGAGTTGGCCCTTGGGGATATGACTATTCTCTCGTTTTTTTTGTGTGTTTTTTTTCATTGTTTCTCTTTTCCAAAGTATATAAACAAGGCAATAACAAATATAAAGGTAAACAAAAAGCTATAGCCACATTACATTTAGATTCTAATATTCACTTATAATGTATCTGCTTCACATAAGAATGCTAAAATATGTAGGTGCTCAGTAAGACTCTTAATTCCAAAGATGGCCAGGAGTTTTTGTTGGCCATTTGGACAGATCCTGAAAACTTAAGTTTGCCTATTCACTCTCATGCTTCCATGTAACCTAATCTCCACCATCCAAACCACCTAAATAGATGACATCTAACAAATGTGGATCTCAGTACTGCTGGCTCCTTATTCAAAGGACTGCATGTTTATATGTTGATATATGCCAATACACATAAGATTCTCTACGGCCAGACATATGTTCACTTGGCCTATAACGTATTGGTAACCTTTGAAATGCAAGTAAAGACTCTACATGTTTTTAGTTTCATAAAAAATATTCTATGCATCATAAGTAATAATTATATTATAGTCAAGCTTTTCTGAGCGAATCAACTGAAGAACCAAAGTGTCACTTTAGCCAAATATTAAAAACTTTTGTGGATCGTTCAGTGTTAAAAGTTTCTGCCACTGTGAACATAAAATATTAAATACTTTTGTCATGTAGTGTCCACCCCAAATCTTTTTGGTTAATAAGATGGGTTAAAAATAAATAAACTATGCCAATTTATGAATTTTAGTCTTCTACATTTTGATTTTAAAACATGATTTTCTCATCTCCAGGAGAATTACAGTGTAATAATACTGAAAATGAACAAACTCTGATGTAACCCTGAAACCAATTAGATAACAAGCTATTGTTTCTTTTTCTCCCACTATTTCTCCCATGACATCACAACCTGTTTTTGAAAAGTTATTGACTCTTAAAATAAAATTTGAGCTTAGTAATCTTACCTGGCACCCTCTTTGCCCAGTTGATCATGTGAACCAGCTCCCTGTCCGCCAAGTTAGTCAGCAAGCCCATCATCGAGGCCTCACTGAATGGTCTTGTAGGATCGTAGTCAGAATAGAGTATGGGGGGCTCAGCCTCCAACAAGGCACTGACCATCTGATCAGCTGTCAGGGACAAGGCCGGGCTGTTCTTCTTCGTGTGCTTAATCAAGAGAGGGCTTGGCCAAAGGCTGGCGGCCCTCATGTCTCCAGAGGGCCCTGCTTCATTCCTGCCTTCTCCATCATCTCTCTGGCGTTTGTGTTTCAACATTCTTCCTCCTCTTCGGTCTTTCCGTATCCCTGAAATCACAGGAGGAAAAAAACACAATGTGTTTACTATTTTTCCCCATGCAAACTTTCATTCAAAAACAATCTTCAAAGTTAATAGCCCTTTATTTTACTTAAGGAAATACTTTCAGGCACTGGTGAACTGTTAAGTGTTTAACAACTGGCTTTCCTAGAGAAAAAGAAAGAGGCTTGATTTGTAGCATTTGCCAATGTCCATGGTGTAAATACTGCTGCCGTAACAAATTTCAAGCCACTTGTCTGACTTCAAGTGCCTTGCAAAACTCTTGAAAATTGAACAGTAGGTTTTTGTGAGCCAGTACTGACCAGCTCTGACATTCTGGCATGTAGAGGGGTGTGTGTGTGTGTGTGTGTGCAACAGATGTTACAAAAGAACAGAATTATAATATTAATAATTATTCTTGAAATATGAGTTAGCATCAAAGATCGTTTCTACTATGAATATTCTTTTAATAATAAATTAAAAGTTCACTTTTAAAAGGCATTCAGTAAACACCCTTATTACCTAAGTAGGCCTCTTAATGAGCAACGCTAAAGAAAAATGACTTGCTCACAGCATAAGTTATAGCCTCTGCACCCCCGAGGTGTTCAGTGAGTCTCTCGATTCTACTAAGGTACACCTCATCGCCTTAGGAATTGACCCAAGTCCCTCAAGAAGTTTACTTGGTTTTAAGCTTTTCACAAATGTATTTCTCTTTTCCTAATATAAAAGTTTTTAAATAGTTGAAAACGATTCCCACCCACCCCAAGATAAATTATAAAGTAGAGTACAGAGGAGGGATCCAATCTTTTTGCTCTGGTTCTTGGAGGTTCCAGCTCAGCATCTTAGCCTGAAAAAAGGCCATGCTATGCAGCTGAAATGTATCAGCAAAAACAAATATTTTGAAACAACAAAAAATTCACCCAAGCTTCCGCATTTTCAAAAAAGTTAGTCTCTGCAAAATTTGTGAGACAGCAGCAGTTCTTATATTTATATGAAGGAAAAAGTTGGTAAAAAGTTAATACAACTATTGTTAATACCAAAGACATGAGAAATAGGCACTCTTTATAATGTATCACCTGTTCTACCTCTCCACAGCAAATGAATAACTAGTGTAGAGAACTTCGTTCTTTTGTCTTCCAATTTGTCAAGGGATTTGGACAAATGTGTGGCTATGAAGCTTTTTTAAATATATAACTTTTATTCTTGTAAGTCTAGTTTAGATATAGTAAATGACACTTCAAAAATATAGAGAAACCACCAATGTCATTTTTCACAGAATTAAAAAAAAATCCTAAAATTCATGTGGAACCAAAAAAGAGCCCATATAGTCAAAGCAATCCTGAGCAAAAAGAACCAAGCTGGAGGCATCACATTATCTGATTTCAAATTATATTACAAGGCTATAGTAACCAAAATATCATGGTACTCATGTGAAAATAGATCAATGGAACATAGTAGAGAACCAAGAAAAGCCCTGTTGCTATAAGCCAATCCATCTTTGACAAAGGAGACTAGAATATACATTGGGGAAAGGATACCCTTTTAAATAAATGATGCTAGGAAAATTGGATGGTCACATACAGAAGAATGAAACTAGACCCTTATCTCTCACCATATACAAAAATCAATTCAAGATGTATTAAAGACTTAAACATAACACCCAAATATTAAAAACACTAGAAGAAAACCTAGGGAAAACTCTTCCAGACATTTGCCTAGGTAAAGTATTTATGAATAAGACCTCAAAAGCACAGGCAACAAACCAAAAATAGACAAATGGAACTTAATTAAATTAAAAACCTTCTGCTCAGCAAAAGAAATAATCAACCAAGTGAACAGGCAACTTGTAGAATTGGAGAAAATATCTGCTAAGTATTGATCCAACAGGGAACTAATATCCAGAACATATTACGAGGAACTCAACAACAAAAAAATGATAATGATTCTATTAAGAAGTGGACAAAGGGCATGAATAGACACTTTTCAAAAGAAGACATGCAAATGGCCAACAGTTATATGGAAAAATGCTAATCACTAATCATCAGAGAAATGCAAATTAAAATCACAATGAGATATCATCTTACCCCAGTCAGAATGGCTACTATTATAAAAAAGAAAATAACAGATGTTGGCAAAGATGCGAAGAAAAAGAACTCTTATATACTGTTGGTATGGATGTAAATGAGTACCAGTTCTACAGAAAATGGTATGGAGACTTCTCAAGGAACTCTTTTACACTGTTGATAGGAATATAAATTAGTACAACGTCTACACAATGCAGTATGGAGACTTCTGAAAGAACTAAAAGTTGAACTACCATTCAATCTAGCAATCCCACTACTGGGTATCTCTCCCAAAGAAGATAAATCAATGGATCAAAAAGACACCTGTACTCATATGTTTATTGCAGCACTGCACTATTCACAACAGCCAATATATGGAATCAACCTAAGTGTCTGTCAGGGGAGGAATGGATAAAGAAAGTGTGGTATATATACACAATGGAATACTACTCAGCCATAAAAATGAGTGAAATCATGTCTTTTGCAGCAACATGGATGGCACTGGAAGCCATTATCTTAAGTGAAATAAGCCCAGCACAGAAAGACAAATATTGCATGTTTCTACTCACAAGTGGATGCTAAGAAATGTGTACAGAGAGTGGAACAATAGACGATAGAGACTCAGATAGAGGAAAGGTAGGAGGGCAGTGGATAATGAGAAATTAGTTAATGGGTACAATGTATATTATTTGCGTGATAGAAACGGTAAAAGCCCTGACTTGACCACTACACAATCTATGCATGTAACAAAATTGCACACGTACCCCATACATTTGTACAACTTTTTTAAAGGCAAAAATAAATAAATAAATGAAAGCAGCCTTGGGCAAGTTTTAAAAAAAGGAAAGAGTTACCTGATTACAACTGCATATAAGCATTTTACCTTTTAAAAACAGAGTACTTTAAAAATAATTTGCTTCTATTCTAAATGTAAATTATCTTTATTTTAAAAGATTCCAAAGATAAAGACAAGTATAGAGAAGGTTAACAAAACATAGTATTCCCATCCACTTTAAAATGTTTCAGCAGTCATGCTACAGACAATATGTTCCCGCAGAAGAATTTTAGAATCAATTCAGGTACTGATAATGGCAGGTATCAAAAATGTTATCAAGGTATTTTTTTCATTTAATACAAATTTGTTCAATATTTATAATGTATATTCACAGAAGATGCAGTGGGAAACAAAGACAGACCATGTTACTCTCCATCAGGTTTTCAGCTTGCAGGAAGAGAGACATGGATCAAAACTTATTCAGTATTCACTGAATGAATGAATGAACTGTTGAAAGCACAAGGGAAAAGAGGAAGTGATTAGAGGAGGAGACAGAAAGCTTCTCTAGGAGAGGAATTGGCATTTGCGGCAAATCATGGAATTTCCCTTTTTGGAGGAATTTAGAAGTAGACTATTTAGATAGTTTACCTGTAGCACTACTTAAAGTAGTAAGCTGAACCATCACACCCATTTGCATCTCACAACTGTATGATCTAGGCTGTTGAACACAAGACAAAAATGGCCACAGGTTTGGAATGTGGAATAAGAAAATACAACTGGAGAGATGAGGAGGGGAGAGTTGACTATTTATAAAATTATCAAACAGTCAAATAGGGGAAAATATTAATAGATTCAATTAGCATTAATAAGTATTTTCTCTGTAATACCCCAAATGTATTATATTTTTCAAATTTCAAAGTCCCTACAAAATATATAAACAAAACAAAAATAGAAAATTATACCTATTATATGGCGAACAGCATGTGATAGGATCCCAGAATATAGATCACAAAATCAGGAATCTTTTTCTACTTGGAGGTAGTAATTGTACACATTATCATTGATAAGCTTGCACAAATATTTTATAGCAGCTCAAAACATCCAACTAGAATTGAGCAGAAGAGGGTAAAAAATGACCCAAATTCTATTTCTATTTTACCCTAGGTTAAGTGAGAACTGTAGGTCAGAACCAATGACTACAAGCTGGGTCACTGTGGAACACACAGCTAATTCTTAATTATATAGAGTCATAGGCCATAGGAGTGGCATGCATGATAGAAATCCAAAAATAAAACTGAAAACTCATCTTCTGCTTCCTACCAAGACATACTCCTGAATTATGCATAGAGCATCAACATGGGGTGATATGCATTTTACTTAATTAAGCTCACCCCTCTTTGTGAACTTCTGCTAATTATCAGGGAAAAAAGCCAAAAGAACAAACTACCAGTTCATAAACAGAGGGGAGGAAAAACAATTAGTTTAGATCATGTAAATGTTAAACAGGCAGCCTCTTCACAGTCAAAAGGCTTATTTATAGTAAATAGCATTTTGACTTGTAATGCCTTACACACAAGATGTATTGTCATTTGGTACATGAAAATATCATTTTCCAGAATGGTTGAGCAATACGTTGAACATCACAATACAGACTTCGTGCCTTGGATTCGCTAGTGTACATGCGTTACTAGCTCTCAACTTCTGTCACTGTTTAGACAATGCTTGCATGAAAACAAATTTCTTTGTACTCTCTTTTTAAAATTTTAGCTCAACAATGATTCAAAGATTTTCCTACCAAGAGCCATGTGTTTTATATAAAGGATCAAAAAAAAACCAAACTCTTTTTATCTAGCAAGCCCACCATCTGTGTGAAAAGCCACTTGTTTGAACTTCATCCCCTTGGGTTAAGGCAACTCTAATATCCTCATCGCATTGTTGTAAGGATTTAGAGAGGCTGAATATGAAATCTCCACTTAGTAGCACTCAATGTGGATTTAAGTGATTCTAATCCAACCTAGGAGGTGTTAACTAAAGGGGATTTACTAAACCAATAAACACAGGCAGTAGAAATGATATGGCAAGGGGGAGAGATGTGCACAGAGCACTCCCTAGGGAAGATGGACCCTACGGAATCTCTTCAAAGGTTGCCTGGGATTTGGGAGGTCAACTGAAA